CAAATCATCGTAAGCTATCAAAAAGTCAAACATTCCAATGCAAAGTTTTCACTCGCTTATTATAGTTCAGTTAGTCACCGAGTTCTATTTAGTAAAGATGTTCTTGAAATTTTTCTGGGTGATGAATTCTTAAATTTATTTGATACATGATTACTCCTCAAGGACAAAATCGCAATTGGCCCTGAGATTTAATATGGAGAGGTATTTATTTTTTTACACGTGAACCTCTCTTTCATATTGTCTTACTTTACAATAAATCCTTTCCTCACTAAATAGTCAAATCCAAAATTTTTCTTAATCTCACCCTCCGTGTTTGCATACTGGAATATTGAGCTGAAGGAAAGAGTATTTTTTTTGGAGTGAGTCTCTAAATGCTTTCATCGGTAAAAAACAACTATACTCAAATGTCGGGTCTATAATCCTCTAATTTATATTTTCTGCGGTTAAGTCGGATTCCTCGAATGAAATATGACTTCAGTAATCCTAATTTTATTATGTGATATACAACGGTCCTCTCATACGTATTTGACGCAAAAATCTAGTTCAAAAATGTCTTAGGCCACATCAGGTACCTTTTAGTGCTGTTACACGACTTATAATATGCAATTTTGGAGATTTTTTTTTTTTTTTTTTTTTTTTCACTGATAAGGCTGCCAAACTTTAAGTATAAATTTTCAAAATACAGTCACTGCATACCGATGATGTTTAAACTTCATTATATTTGACATTAAGAACGAAATTTGTTGCACAAATACTAATGAAACTGCAGTATTCATGAATATTTTTGGACGAGGAAAAGGAAATATTGGTATCAACAACAATAATTTTAAACTAACCACTTTATTTTCTGAGGTTAGGGGTTTCATAATTTAATGAAAATAACCTTACAGCTTTGTGAGAAGATTAATCTGATAAAACATTTAATGCGGTCATCGATACCACAAAGTCAATTAAAAATCTGAGATTCAATAAACTTTATTTTCGGCGCGGAACCTTTGTGAAATTTAAGAACAACCTGTAACTAAACGCGACTTCTAGCCGCGAAGACCTCGTTACTTGCAACGTATACCTTTCTGTCAATTGTCATTTTTTAATCTCTATTAAGAAGTTCTCAGGAATAATTACGTATAGCCTTTGGGTTGTTGTTAAGATTCATCGAATATAATACTTTTCCATGACTAACGTTCTCTTAAACATTACAACAAAATTACGGAGAATATTTATTGGAAAAATCATCTCAATGCCTTTTTAGAAATGACTCTCTAGATAAAACATTGGCATTATCTTAGCAGTATTGTGAAGGATACGTAATTACGTATGGTTATTTAAAGGAACTACTCGATTTTGAACGGAAAATTCAGCGCGAGATTTTCAATTTTAATGTATCTTCTCCACTTTGAAAAAAATATTCACTTGAAATTTCAAGTTGTGGGATAATCTTTTCGAACGTTCATATACTAAGCATGAAGGGAACCATAAAACTTATAACGCGCGTCAAAATGCCGTAATTCGAGGGCGAGTGAACGAGGAAAAGAGGAAAAACGCGGAAATCTCTGCTCGGCGGTGGTAGTTTTTTCCTGTCTTTTATTATTGCGCGTTTTGTGAGATGCCGACGATAGCTCATAAAAACAGAACAGATGGGATTTGGATAATGATTCCATTTACAGCTTATGAGGGGCCCTCGCGGCAGCGGTTCGGGCCAGGGATCGGCACGTGAGCGGAGGTTGATTACTCACCCCTTTGCGGATCCCTCGACCGCAAAACATGATCTTGGCTGCATCCCGTTCGAGCCCTTTTTATTTCGCCCGCCGCACAGTGGATCGAGTCAAATAGAGAGGTCGGACCTGATATTCTTTGCAAAAAACTGCAAATTTTGATGTTTATTTCGTCATATTTTCAACTTTAAGGGGTGTTTCTTAAAGAAAATTTCACGAGAAAGCCACTGGAACTTATTTTAAAGCCTCGTGGTTTGGTATAAACGGAGTTACGAGCGTTTAAAGTTCCCAAATTTCGTCCGACCCCTCCTACTGACTCGATTCATTGTGCGGCGCGGTTCATTATTACACGGTGGCCCCTCGCAGGTGACTCTATTGTGCATCCGTTAATTATTATGTGGAGCGTGACACTTCCACTCGTGGAAAAATATTCAACGACCTGTTGGGTCTAATCACGCTGTGAAAAAGCTTAAAGTGCGACGACAAGGTCGGGTACCCCGCGAATCCTGGAATCGCATCAATCATGGGTCAAATTGAGCGGGGATTAATTATGCGGTCAGGTTCAAAATATGATAAAAAGCGATTTCTGAATTCTCGGTATTAACGTCACGAATTTTCCGGAAAAAGCTTTGCCGTCGGCATGGGAGTACGTTCTATCGTCATGATACTGCAAATTACAGAAGCGAGTTTCATCGCACCGGTTAGAGGTTTTCTTTCGGATTTTTTCACAATTTTCCTCGACTCAATGATGAGACGTTTGTCAAAATTTACGGGCGGGGACATCTTTTTTAGGCATGTGAAAATAGAATGTAGATGAGGATTTTAAAATTTTCGGTCGGCAAAAAGATCTAGTATTCCAGAGACACCATCGATTTAAAAAAAAAAAAAAAATTAATCGTGCATCAATAAAATTAATATGTTTTATAACTGATCCACGTGCGTGATGAAAATAATTCTAAATCATACCTCGCAGAATAATTTCAATATCATTCACTGTTTTTGAGCTGCTTTCGTTTTGAGTCAATCCGTGAAGTAAGTATATGCAAAGGATGAAAAACTTTATGTACTACGTGTCATTTAATTTAGATTCTTTAAAAAAATAGAAAAACTTTGTTATAATTAAGATCACAGGTGTGTAAATTTTTAGTACTTAAAGTAATGTTAGTCACTATGTCAACTCACTTCAGTTAAATTTTTGAAATGTTGTGAAATAGATTCAAATTAGAAAATTTGTATTGCAGGGAGGGTTTAAATTTATTTTGAAAATTACCCCACACAGAGACCGATTTTTCTTAAAAGATATAAATTCTGAGCATTGTAATTCAAATCGTCTTTTTACATTTTTCAAATGGGCGTCAGCTGATTCAAGCCTACTGTTTAAAAGAAAAAAAAACCAAAGATTCTTAATTTTTTGAGTCCAGAAACATTGAAGCAATGAAGACGTTCATAAATTTTATAAAAGCGTCAATCAAGAATTTAAAGGTACACGCTGTGTCTCTCATAACAATAAAGTGACATAAAAATCTGAGTGTAAAATTAATTTGTTCAAATTCCTGTTCTCTCAGTTACAAAAATCAGGACAGAGCCAAGTCAGTGCGGTATCTCTTTGGACAGGAACATCAACCCATCTGCAAAACAATTATCGTTTTTTTTTCTTCATCGTAATTATATGACTTGATATTTGCGAATTTTATTAAATTTGAATCAACTCCTGCAAATAAGTCGACGTTAGAACTAAAATTTTCGAATATTCGTTTTGTAATACTTTAAGAGATTTTATTGCAAGTATCAGCAGCTGATAGTAGCACGTGTATACTATAGTAAAACCTAAGGCTCGGAAATATCCTCAAAATTTTCAAAATTTTTCACCGTCAAAAAAAAAAAAAAATAGATAAATAAATAACCAAACTGTGTGTGCATATGTATTCTTAAATATATAACATTTAATTCGGAAATGGATGACATCTCAGTGTTTTATTCCTCTTGTTTGTTTCTTTTTTTAATTTTATTAATTTATTTCTTTATCTTTTTACTCAATCCTATTACTAGTAAAATAAAGCATGGTTTAAACGCGGTATGATGTGGACGAAGACCAATGAATTTAAATAAACGAATGTTTGTTACAGAGGTTTTTCGAAATAAGATACCTGATCTACACACCGTTGTGCGGTACTTGCAGGAAAGAAAAATACTTGTAGATTCCATAGTTCACTTTAATTTACAGCTCAATATAAACAGGAATATTATTCAAATTGAATTTACAAGTAGTACCTAAATCATTTGCGAACTCTACATTTTGCGCGCGCTCAAAACTATCACCAACTAATTTATTTTAAACTGGTGTGTCTGAGCTACCTTTATCTCTAAATCTGCTTATCTTTGATTAGTTATTCTTCGGAAGTTGATACATGAATTTACCTTCTACTCTATTTTCTCATCTCATGAGATCTTTGCAATGTATTAATTTAACTGGTCACTGGACCGGTAGTTTTAAAAATTGAACAAAATTTTAAACGTGCTCATAAAATAAAACTCGACTAACTGCAAGGTATAAAATGCAAGGTCCTTTTATTGAAACCTGCAGGTAAATTTTTCTTCACATTGTCACATTACAAGCGAAAAACTTTTTACAATCATTGCATAGTATTCTCCTACATCTCGTTTCACTACTATGTTACTTGCGACAGTCACTTCGGCAATTACTGGCTAAATCATGATCATTACACTGTCATACTGATTCTCACAGAATCTTCAGTGATATTGCGCGAAAAAATCTCTCAAAAAAAAGTCTGAAAAATCTGGTCCATTTCATCATCCCCGAAAGCTGCCTATACTTTTAAAAATTATGAACGTTTAATGAAATGAACCTTGAACAAGCAGAATATACTCCTGACTTCCACAACTTTCAAGGATATCGCAAAAGATAGCCTAACAACGCACGGCAAATAGAAGTACAAAAGTGCTAACCTCGGTCCTACGTGTCTTAAAATTTCCAGTCTTACGTGAAAGAGCATTATACCTACGCATTTTCGCACGAACTTCACCAAGAATGTTCTCACGAAGGTGAAAAGAAAAGGTCCTACAAACTTTTGCGAAATCACGATGATTAGTCATTCTTCACAAAAAAGAAGAAAAAATACGCTCCAAAAATGATTTATCCCGCACAGCTTTAAATTTTGAAAAATATACACAAATTACATCAGAAATGACAAAATTACGACATCTCAGAGTGCATCCCTTGTGGGGGAGGGGGGAGGGGTTGAAATTAGTTGATGGGTTACATACCTTCACATGTGAATTGTCCGTAATGTTTGCCGCTGGATTTGTCACCGCAAACGACACATTCTATGTTTTGTCCTTTGTCGTTGGCGCCCTGGGACGAGCCCCCCGACTGGGCGCTGGGGGTGGAACTTTGGGTGAGCTCCCTGAGGCCGGCGCCGAGGGTGGTGGCCTCCTCGGCGCCACTGGTGTGGTGGCCGAGGACGCCCGGGTCCCGCCACGGGGACGCCACGAGGGCCATCCCCCGCGAGAACCCCAAGTCCCCGGGCCCCGACGGCCCCCCCGGCTGGTGGTGCCCGAAGAAACCCGCGGGTGCGCCGCCGCCCGACGGCACTGGGGGCGGACATAAACCCCCGACTGCACGGCACACGGCCAGAGCGTTGTGCGGGAGAATAATTGTGCCTGAGTTTTGGGGCGGATCGCCGCCGCCTGACTCCCGGACAGAACTTTCACAGATCAACAGCTTCACGCCGACAACATCCCTCCCAAGCTCACTAGTCTATCCATACAAGTCACACCGTACTTCCAATCCGAAAAAAAATATCAATTTTTGGGTTTTTTTTTTTTAAAAAAAAAAAAACAAATTAATAAAAAACTAATTTAAAAAATCGCGCACTGTCAACTTTGAAAAATCATTGCACATCACAAAATCGGAATGTATCCATCATGAGGTCGTATAATCCACAAATCCGGGGAATTCGCACAACGTGGGGGAGATCACAAAACCGCGAGCGCGAAATCCCGTTGAAATCCGACGGGGGGAGGGGGGAGTTGGGCCGGTGCGAAAACCGAACGTGTAAATATTGACGGAAATTGATTTGGCCTCCTCGAGTGCGGAGTTCAGAAGTTTTGGGGAGCTTGGTTACGTTGACCCGGGGGGTGACCCGTAGTATTTAACCTGTGAGTAAGGTGTCCGGGTGAGTAAAGAACCGCGCCGGGTGCTGGCCTTCGTTCAACTGCTCCTCGCTGCACTACGCTCTGAACCCTGACCTGCCCCTCCCCTCGCGGCTCGGTCTCCATGGCAACTGGCTGCTTGGCTCTTGCCCTAAACACTCTCCTATTGGCTCGCGACCTTTTTACCTCTCGGGGCACTTTCATTCGCGCGAGTTTGGATTTCGCTCCTCGCCGTGGCGCTCGCGTCGCCCGCGCGTCCGCCTCAGCTCCTGTTCCTTCCACCCTGCTCATTCTCCCGTTTTCCGCCCAACCGGGAACATCCAGGATCCCTGGAGGATCAAAGCAGGAAGCAGGAAGGAACCACAATTTAATAATTCTAATCGGAGAAATATTCCGTTATGAAGGTTTACAATTTGATTGCATTTTGCAAAAAGGATCAAAGAGCATGCCATTCTTTGCAATAAAATTAATGAAACCACGCAAAAAATTAGATTTACAATTGTAATTTTCGTCTTGAATTAAGTAATAGGAGAAAAGATGGAACTTGTTTAGATTATGAGTTTAAATTCGGAAGATAAAAAAAGTTGCACAATCTTAGGGACATTGGAATGCGCTTGGTCATCCTTTTTTGCAAAATGCATTCCAATTAGTCCTCTTTCCAGAAACAAAATATTAAAGCTATTAAAATCTGTATGAATAGTAGTTGAAATAGCTCAAAAATTCAATAATAGAAAATCATTGATTAATTTTAATTAAATAATTACAACCAAAATGCAATTTTGAGATCAATTTAACATTTAGATGAAGAAAGTGCCTAAAAATGATAAGATTTTAGATAAGTATGAGTTCAAAAAGCTCCTTTATAAAAGATATATTTAAAAGTTTGAAAATTCTTTGTTTTGTCTTAACTCAAAATTAAACAGTAATTCACCCCGGCATTCATTCTTGTGGTAAAATCGTGTGAATATTAAACCAATATAAATGAATAAAATAAATATATGCAGCTACTTTTCATCATCATAGAATCTCTCTTTAGTGAAGCGTGGAGCCAAAGGAAAGTTCAGAAGATTGGAAATTTCTGTGATATATTTTGGGACTGTGAACTTTCGTCCTCTCTTATACGAAAGAATACGTAACTACATTCCAAAGTCACATGATCCACTCAAAAAGTTTAATTTTTTAACAAAAATCTAACCTCGCAGTTTCTGCCAAGAGGTTTACTGAAGTTTGCGTGTCACAAGGAAAAATCAACGATTTTTTCGGTTGGATATCTCCAACAGTGAAAATCTTGAAAAGTTCATATAAAAAATGATCAGGGCAAATAAAATATGTTTCCTTGCATCAAATGAAGCTAATGAATCTTGGAGCTAATTCAAGAATAGCGGCATGGACTGCCGTGCATATTTATGCAAAAATTTAAAAGAAATACCAAGAAAATAAAGAGAACGTTAATATTTGTTCGCTCGCATAACCACCCATTAGCATGTCGATGTCACTTTAAAAGTTCCACAATCTGCTAAAATATCTGTAAGAATGCGGAGTTTTCCATTTCACAAGGTGCATCAAATTGAGTGAAATCTCCTTCAGACGGTTGAATAGGCAAAATCTTAACCGCCAAGCGCGTAGAGTTGCCGGTTGACTTATGCAAGTCCCATATCGACGGTGAAAGTCGGCAATCACATAACTCGTTTGCGGTGTCTGAAAATCTCCGCCTCTACGTCATTTTTTTAAAGGAGAACAAATTGATATTATTTCTTGAAGTTTTTGCAGAATTTTCTTCGCATTGAGAAGAAAAGTCATGACAGTTTTAAAGAATTGCCGTTGAGTAGTTTTCCATTTAAAAAATAAAGTATGACAGGAAGTCTGCGACGTCGCAAACCGAGTTATGTGATTGCCGACTTTCACCGTCGATATGCTCTGCTCTGTACTAATTATGGTAGCTATGAACGATTGGTTGCTCATGTAGAATGTTGCATTTTCAAGGTTGCAAAATTGACCCGGAAAAATTAATTTTTTACAAAAATAATTACAATTAAGTGCAATTTTTATCCAAAATTTTTCTGATTTTTGTGTGTCATCAGAGAAAAATCTGTAAAGTTTTAATTTAAAATATTTCAACGAATTTCAAGGACACTTAAAATTTACTAGTAGCAGTCTTGCAATGTTAAAATGCATTTACGTTCTTTCGTCTGGGGAACGAAAAATTGAGATGCTGCCACCAGAACAAAAAGGATTGCTCTGCAAACTCTTTGGAATGGAAAACGCCCAAAAATGTGTCAAACCAAGCTATGATTGTAATTTCTTGGAGTTTGCTTGTCAAAAAACGTAGTTTTGCGAGAAAGCCATTTTAAATTCTAATCTGCTATTTTTTGGAACGTAAAGTTTCCAGATTGTAATGCACTGCAGACACGCAAGAAAGTTTTCCTTCAAAATCTCAAAATACGATCTTTCGACTCAACTCCAACAAAATTACACCTTCGAAAATTTTGTTTTCGCGGACTGGGGTCCCCTTTCCTCTAACCAGTTGCAATTTTGACCAAGTCTTAGAGAAATCGCACCAAGTTTGATCCAAAAAAAGAGGCAAATTTTCGCGAGTGGACTTGGTCGAGTTTTTCAACCAAATTGGCAGGATTGCAAACGAATGGAAGAGAACGCTCTGCTGAAGTCAAGAACTACCTAAATCAGTTGCTTGCTGAATTGTAGCCAACGCTTGCACCCAACCACTTTTCGACTCTTCTTCCGAGGTGTGTCGAGAATTTTGGATGCGGTCGTCAATGCCGCCAGCATGGAAACCAAATTTTGTAGGCACACCAACGCCCGGAGGGAATTTCCTTTTGCTGTAACAAAGGTTCGCACTATTAAAAACTTGAACCAAATCCACTCTCGAAAATTTGCCTAAAGAGGTTTGAAGTTTTATTACCTTCATTAAAACTCAATTTTGAGGAAAAATTTTAACAACTGCTCTCACGCTCAATAAATATTTTCTTGGCTTTGAATTTTTAATAGGGAAAAGTGTACGACTATTCGAAAAAGGAACAGTAATTGATTTGAATGCCTGCCAAGACCGTATAGCGTTGTACTCGGCGATTTGATTCGAGTAAACTATTGTTTTTCATGTGAGCGGGGAATTCAAAATTCCTGTTCTAAAAACGTCAGTGTTTTCAAGAGTAAGGACTCTTGATCCACGCGATTTTTTTCCCAGTGTAGATTTCCGAAAAGATTATCGGTTTTCTAAGAAAGCGGCATTCCATCCATGAGAGCACGAAAAAACGAAACCAAAATTCGACTTAAAACGACCCATCCTCGAGCACGAACCCAGGCGCAGCTGAAATTGGAGGCTCTGGGAAATCATCCCTTAAGCGAGGCCCGGGGCTCGGGGTCCGGGTGGAAGTTGGAGGTGGGACAGCGCTGACCTAAACCCGCCCTCGCGGCCTCCGTCCACCCATCCTGACCCGCGACGCCCGCCCCGACTCCGGGCTCGGCGTCGCGGCGCCGGGCGTCGGTCGTCTCGCGTCTACGCGCGCTACGCTCGCCGTCTCCTTGTTTCAACCGTAAGTTCATTGGGCGGTGTCTGTTTACCTAACCTTGGTAATCCGCACCCCCTCCTCTCCTCAGCGGGGCTCTCAGTATATCGCCAATGATATCTGGGTGTTGTACGTGCTTCACATTATTTTCCACGAGCTAACATAGTCTCGTTTGCAGTGGCGTGGCGTACTTTGCGATAAATCGATTGATCTGTCATTTGAACCCATGGAAAAAGATCGATAAACAGGGTGTTCGCAACGAACTCCTTGATAATCGATTCTTTACCGTAGCTTCGAGTGGGGAAATATCGATGATCGATCGTTCACGCCACGCCACTGCATTTGTATCTCCTCCATTCTTCCCCACATTTTCAGGGTCTTAGAGCGTTAGAAACTAAAGTGTTCAAAACTTGAATTGATGTCATTTAAAACGCTGGGAGGGGAGGTTTTGGAACTTTTTACCAGTGGCGCACACTGCAATGAGCCAACAGAAGTAGTCGGACGAAGTCTGGAAACTTTGAAAGATTATATATTTTGAAAAACGAAACAAAAAAGTTTGAGTGTGATTTCATTGGTTTTTTCGTGAAATTTCCTTTGTACTTCTTGAAATTGAATCTTTGATGAAATTTACATCAAAATTTGGAATTTTAGCTAAAAATTTTACATCCAACCTCTTGTATTTGCTCTACGCACTGTGCGGCGTGGCATTCTTTGCATTTTATCGATTGGTATGCCAATGAAACCTATGGGAAAGGATCGATAAGCAAAGTGTTCGCAATAAATATTTAAGAATCGATTTTTTACCACATCTTCAAAGGGAAAATATCGATAATCGTCCATCCACGCCTCACCACTGCCTTGTACGTCTGCAACGACTTCAATACATTATTTCCAAGGCGGAGATCTCATTTATCATGGACTCTAAGTAAAAATGATGAGAATAATTACTACAACTTTCTCATTGTAAATTTTGATTTCTTGTCATAGTTTGTTCTACCATCCTGCTAGGTTAATTTCGGTCCACTGGTCTGAAAGCTGTTTTCATAGGCAACAAATCAAATAAAACCAATTAAAATTTGACAAATCGAACATCGATTTTATCTATTTAATTTCCATTTATGCCTGCAGGGCCGGATTAAGGGGGTGGCCACATGGGCCGCGGCCCACGGCGGCAAATCTAAGGAGCGGCAAAAATTTGCAATTTTTTAAAGTGTAGGTATAAAAAAATCGGATTTATGAAAACAAAATTACAAACGAGAAAAGGCGACAAAATCTCTGATTTCCTGGGAGTATAGTAATTTCTAATTTTGTCGTCTTTCAGTGATACAAGAGACAGCACCTTTAATTAGTCGAGTTAAGAGAGAAACCTAACACGCAATTTGGCCTGGAACGGCGCGAATTAGAGAAAAATGATAACGAGGACTTAAGATGAAAAGGAGAAGCCCTCGGCGCGGCGATCGGCATGTAACACATATAAGCGCCTACAAGACTGCACGAATACTTCACGCATTGCATCAAACACAGTTTGGTCATTGCGGTCAGCGTGAAACGCATAGCGCCTACAAGAC